AAAAAAAAAAAAAAAAAAAGAAATTGAGGATCCTAACAGAAAAATGTTACTTGAAATTTGGATAATAATATTTTTTTAAACTAGTGAATAAGTTCAAAAACAAGCATTACGGGAAAAGTATCCAAAAAGCCACCAAGACCTGTTTCATAGAATGCATTTTGCCAGTAATTTGTAAATGATTACTCAAAGTTTATTGCTTGACTGTGGATGTTTGGAGGACTTGAAATATTCAACTTAATTTTCAGGAGGAAGTAGTCACTTAAATACACCCACTCCAATAAAACCCTTGAGTCCAGCCATCAGAACCATGAGAAAGTGTAGAATGCATAAAAATGGCTTCCAGCAATACTGAGATGGGAGAATTGCAATCCAAGTGCTATTTTCAGATCTAAATGTAAAAAACTCGTTTCTTAATGTTGGTTTTAGAAATGACCTTAATTTGATAAATATCAATTGATTGCCAGCTCAGCTGAAGACCAAGATAAAACTATCCTTCTTTAAGTCTTCTTTTAAGGGATGCCTAATGTTCACCTTAATTCTGGAGTTTGCTGCTTGAGGTAATGTAATCCACTGTGCTTTTACTGTATGCACCACAAAAGGCTGATGAACCAGTCCCAATATTGGGACCAGCTTGATTGTATTATGTGAAGTCACTCTAAAAATACCACTGGGACTCTTAAGTTTGCAAGATTGTAACTAATTGTGTTTCAAGCGGAATGCTCTCAATCCACTTGTAAAAGTGCTTGTACCTTGAAAACTTTACTAGGACTTTCTACTGGATTTACAGGCTGGATATAAAATAAAACTGACATATATTTCTTGAATCCAAAATAACTTTGTTGGATCTCCTAGAAATACTAAAAGAAAGTTGTATTTTGTATGGACCCATAGTACAGAAATACAAGTTATTAATATCATCATTTTCATCAAAGTCTCGGGTGTGATCAAGTCAGCAGATCACAGAAACTGCTTGAAAAAGTATACAATCGTTTGTCTCTGTGACCCTAAACTATCTAAAACACCATTTTTTTTTATTATGAAAGGTTTATCTGCCTTTTTGATGCTAACCACCAAAACTTGTTAAAATATCTTTCTAAGCATAGTGGACTGGCCTTTGTTCACACATTGCAATATAGTATCAGAGTTTGTATTAAAATATGTTGTCAGTCACCTACACTTATATAGGTATGGCATTTGAGTAATAGTCTGGAACACCCAAGCTTTTATTTAAATTTTCATAACACGGTCTCATATGCCATATGCATGAAATATAGGCTCCATGTGGGTCTTAGATAAAACGAAAATGTCACCAATTTTCCCCATTTTCCCATGGACCTCCACAAGGCAGGTTTATAAACATTCTCAAAATTATTTCACCCATAAATAATCAAAATTTATATTTCAAAACAAAATCCCAGTGGTATAAGTCCTATTCCAAACATTTGGAAGCTTACCAGATTCTTCAAAATTATAACAAAAAGTGACAATTGAGTCTTGGCTAGATCTAGACCTATTAAAATACATTTTCAAAAAAGTATTTTCCACTTTCTTCTATAACTGTGTCCATATTATCCAATGGAAGTCATAAGACACCGAAGTCTGAAACAGTTTGATAGGATCTAAAACAGTAAACGTATAAAAAACAAAAGGTATAAGTTTGCAAAATAAAAGACGCCCCCATTTTAAACTTAATTTGTAAATACACTGGAATGTCCTTCCTTATAAATCAACTAAATATGAAAAAAAAAAAAAATCCCCTTTCAAGTTGGTGACCTTGGTGCAATGAGAAGTTCCACAATCTAAATAGAGCTAAAAGATCAGTGAAAATATTTTTCTCCTCTCAGTGTGATTTTTGGAGCTTTTCCAGGCTACAAATCTACCTCAGAACACTGCTGACAACATGGAAGGATTTACTGGAATTCTTTAGACTGTTTACTACTTTTCCTGCCACACACAAACACACACACATATAGGCATAAAGCTACTGATTAACATGACCAACCTTTGCAAGTACAAGCAGTTCCAGGTACAAGCAGTTCCAGTTATCATTTCTAATTAAATACTCAGGATTCCTGCCTGTATGACCTTTATTTGGTCTGAACAGTATCATTATCATTCTGTCCTTATCTGATACAGTGATTTATGCCACAGTCCTGTTTAATGTATCTGTGTATCTCACATATTTTTAGTTTATAGCTTATAGCATAGGGGATATGGGATGACCATTTTCTTTAAACTAGACTTAGTGCAACATTCATGAGTAAAATTACCTTCAAGGCAATGGAAGGTAGTTTTCTTTTTGATTATATCATTATCATTATCTTTTACCTTTCAAGTCATTGCATTGCACAATATTTCTACATGGACTTGTAAATCAAAACAATCTGAAATTGGCATATTCACACTTATAACTTCAGCTTAGTTTAAAGTGTGTGCACCTGTAGGATTCTGTTACATGATGGTATGTCCCCAATAAAGTTACATGCAATTTTTATTTCCAATTTTCGAAATGTTGAAAAAAATTTTCATCTTTTGCCTTGATGTGTACACCATACCCCAGCTATATTACCTCATTACCAGAGCTTCTGGAAACTGCTGGTTGCCTTGAAGAACAAATTGCAAAATGCTCTGACCATGTGCCTACGATAAGGACCCTAGATACGGACCAAATAAACCTGATCTTGGCACAAAAAATCCCATTAAGATAAATAGACAAATTCTAAAAATACATATTATTTATTTACTTGAGTTTCAGACAAATACCTCAAGCCTATTTGGCCTGATCTTAATGAAAGACAAATATGAAGGCCAGTTTCAACAAATAAATCTTGTTCTTTATCACCAAATTTATACACCAAAGCTGGAAAATGTGCAGACTAATCAAGATGCATAGACTTAAATCTATTGGATTATTTTGTAAATAATAAGGCAGACAGATGTAGCCCTTCTGTCAACACCAATATAAACAACATACCTGCTTGTTTTGGAAAACATTTTGTAGAACATGGTCTATGTTAGGTTTTAATTGCCGTTCATGGGTAATGGCCACAAAAACTCTCAGTTATAGCTTTGTGTTGTGAGGATTAGTCCTCCACAATAATTGTCCATTAAAGTCAAACAAAATTAATAAATCATTTTCTAGACAACAGTGGATGAGAGTGCTCAAGGTCATGGGTCAGATAAAAAACTCTCAGAAATAGCTTTTGAAATTTTGCACTGTGAGAGGCAAGCCTCTAAATTTATGTGGGGGGCTTGACCTGAACAGGTTACAGCATCTTTGAATATGAAAGCAAATATAGATCAAGTCATAATCTTTATGACGTCATAAATGCCAAACTTGTAATCAAGGGCAATTGACAGCAAACATCAAACTGGAAGCCCAGATTAACAGATAATAAATCAGTCAAACACAAACAAAGGTGACCAAATCTATATGTGAGTATTTAAATAGACACTTCAGAATTTGCGTAACGACTTAACTTCAACCCAGGCTACAGGGATGACTCTAAGCATTCTGAAGA